GTAAAACAGCGACCTTTTAGCCAAACACCTGCTCACAGGAAGACAAGTGAAGATTTTATTGCGCCTGCTTGACATTTATTACTGCTATAAATCCGGACGTGCGGTAGTGAGACTCTAGTTCTGAATGGCATAGTGCAAAACTCTAAAAGGTGACCTATTATGCTTCCTTGAAAAGGTAAGGATAAGTTTAAGGCCTGAACATCATTTCTCTTTTTGCAACAAAACACACTTAGATAATGAGATTTCAGTCTGCTCAGTCCTGCCTCCTGGCAGAATAAACTATTTGTCACTTTAAGTCCAAATAAGGTGCTCCTGGCTACAAAACTCAACGTTTACACTCACACCTGAAAAGCAGAAGTGGAGCCTTCTGCACAATCAAGAATGCATCAAGTGGTTTCTGGATAGCAAGTCAACTACAGAGCGCTTGTCTTTTCCTGCACAGACGGCGGTCAAATCAGCTGACTAAGCTCAGCTGGAGCTCATCTTGGGTTGCTAGGTAACTGTGCAGTGTGACTCGACAATCAGGGTGTTTTTGAAAAATCCACCTACTATTTAGTTCTTTAATCATTCAGTGAAGAGAAACAAACAAAACGATTTTTTCCTCATTATAATCTGCCATTGAATTAAATGTTCTTGTTTTAATTTAGCATTACCAGAATTATTTTTTATTTCTAAATCCTTTAGTAAAAAGAGGGAGGAGCCTTATTTATTACCTTTCAAGCTTTATTAATAAGAAAACTGAATGGACCAAATTCGCTAAAGTAGTAGTGATATTCAGTAAATTAATAAATACGTTGCTGTGAGTCTTTTTTATGAGATTAAAGGTTATTTCTTTATTGGTCTGATGTCAATTTTAAATTTAAATGCCCTGTTTTTATTACTTGAACGTGAAAAATCACCTTAACAGAAATAAAGGCTTTAACGAAAGAAAAAGATACAAAAACTTAAAACTGTACACTTTTTAAAAAAATGAACTATCTTTCTATTATTCTGAGTGTAAAAGACTGATGGTCCTCCTGCACATCAAAGTCCATTTGAAGGATTCACCAGAGTTAAAAAACAACAAAAAGGATGGAAAAAAAAAAAAGAGAGAATGCCCAGGCTCCTCTCCCGAGGACGCTTCAGGGTCCTTCTTTCTTTAAATCTTTAATGAAAATGAAAGATTTCAATTTTAATTCACGACCAACCTTCATTCAAATTTAAATATTGACAGTTATTTATTTTGTGCATTTGCAGCCAGAGTCCATCCAGCTCTCTCTGATATCAAACTGCTTTCCTTTCTGGACACATTTCGGTTTTAGAACTGGAAAATATCAAATGAGATAATTTATCCTCATGGTTTTGGGTTGGAAAGTAGCAGTCACTGCAGCAGAAAGCTCAACCACAGCATTTTAAGGATAACTATGTTTTCTGCTGGCAGATAAAACCAAGTTATTTACCTGCTGCTGCTGTTTCCATGATCACATCGTACAGCCGATGACGAGCTGATCAGCTTCATCGTGTTTTGAATCTATCGAACACTCCAACGTAGCGACAAGCATCAGCTAACTGGGATATTATTAGCTCAGCCTTCCACGCTGCACCGCTGATCAGCTTTGACGAGCGCCTGCAGCGGCTTTGCGTCAGTGTGGCATTTCAAACTGGCCGACGTCTAGCTCTTGGTTTTTTAACAAGAAGAAGGCTGCTGGGACGAGCTCTCTTTAGAAAACACACATTAGGTCACAGGCTGGACAAAAAAAAAAAAAAAAAACACAACAAAGAAACAAGCACTACACATCAATATTTGAGTTTTCACACACGTCCAGCCTGACATGAACCACCAGTTTCACACGTCACTACGACACACCAAGAAAAACAGAAATCAGGAACGTGAGAAACAAGAAAACTCGAAACTGTTTTAGTAAAATCTCACAGCGACAGTGAAAAGTCGATTTGGTTTGACTGATCTTTTTAGTTTGACTTGAGTTCATCGCCACCACAACTAGAACTTATGAAGCCGTTTTTGTTTCCCTATAAGGACCTGAGTGGGAACAGCATGTTTGAAGCCAGAGCCCAGTCGCATCAAAACCCAATGTGACAAGAGGTACACCAAGTATTTTAGTCTAATTTCTAGTACACTTGAAATTACTGGCAGATCGTTTCATTTTTTTGCCATTTTCCATCCTGCAGGGAAAAAAAATCTATACCCTCTTTTTGCTAAATTTTATCTATTTTTATTTTATGCCCGAAAGAGAAGAGAAAATTTATAAGATGAGACATTTGAGGCTCCAAATGGGTTTTTTTGCTGTTGAAAATTGGTAAGTATCTTAGATGCAGCAGGTAACTGAGTTTGTTTTCAATCTCATCTTTTAGCTTTTCACATACTTTATGACAAACGGGGTTGTAGTTGTAGCTCTCGTTTGCATTTTAATTTACTAAATAATACAAACAACAAAACTAAATCTGGAAAAGAGAACAAAAAGGCTGAATGTGCTTCACCTCCCAATCTGTTTCCTCATCCTGTCAGATTTTCCACAGGTTGTTGTTGAACTCCATTGTGTTTTTTTCCTCAAAACAAACCAATTTGTTGTCAACAAAGCAGACAAAACAGAGACAAGCCTAAAATAGAAAAGCCACTCAGAGCATGAAAAAGTTATTACTTTTTTGTTCAACAGAAACTAGCAGGAGGATCTTCATCATTCTGGGTCAAAATCATCAGTATTTAGCTTGAAATTAAAGGATAAATCAACTTTTAATACATTTTTTAGGTTAACCTTTCTTTAGCTTGAAAACCAAACATGAGTCAACTTTTAGCTGCAACTTCAACTCTAAGAATGCGTCATTTTCATGAAAACTCGGGATGCACTGATTGTAGTTTTCTGTTTGACCAATGATCTTTAAAATGTTTAAATTAAAAAATTTAGATGTTTGCATAATTGAAAAAAGTCTGTTTCAAATTCTAAGACCTCAATGAATGATTCTTCATAAAACGAAGAAAATTATGGACAGCCCACGCCCTTCTCTTTATGAGACTTTGCTGAGAAAACAGTGTCTTCAGTCAGAAGCTTCTTCAAACTCACTGTAATACAGATGGCTGCGAGAGATCTTTCTGCCAACAGCCATCACCATCTACAATAAGTCTTCAAATTAATGAGTGACAACATTTAATTTCCATTTGGGATCAACAAAATATTTTTGAAGTTGAACTGAAAAAGCCAGACCTCACAGTTCAGATTTTTTTTTGTCTGAAAAGTCGCTAAATGTGGCGACTAAATTAGAAACAATAAGACCTTTTCATAGGGAAATATCAGCCAAGCGCTGGTTTCTCAAACTTAAGGAAATTGGTGCACCCCTAATAAAAGCACATTAAATTCAGGGACTGAAAAGCTACTAAACAGAAAACTAATTCCTTGTTATGAAGAGTTAAACACAAACAACTGGTCACTTCACTTTTTCCCCTATTTAAGGATCTTTTTCAAATTAGAGAAGAAAGTGAAATTAAATCCTCTCCCTGTTTGTTATGCAACTGGGCGCTGGCTTTTTGAAGGCATTTTCATGTACTGGAACAAGCTGTTGAAAGCATGCACTTATGAGATAATGATGAGCGATGAACAAACTTATGTTTAAGAACAGAGCCAAACTGCTTTGTTCTGAAAATTTCTGCAGGACAGGCGGCGGGGAAGTCATGACATTCGCACTTTGCGGCTCAAGAATAAAAACGGCGGCTTCCCTGGAAAGGAGCAAGCAGCTCCTCATTCGGTAAACAAGGAGCTTTGAAGTCAGACGTAAAAAACAGGATTTACATGAATAAATAAGCCGCCCACCGACGAGTCGCGCTAATGAAGTCGCAGCAGAAAGGCTGAAAGAGACGAGTCTGCAGCCGCATTCCTTCCAACTTCCCGCAGCGTTCCCAATTCTGGGAACGACTCCAAGCATGAAGGTCTCTGTTTTAAACGGAAAACAACAGGACTTTATGTCCAACGCCACTTTGCTGACGTCATCGTTCAGCTGGATGAGCTTCTCTTTGTTTCAAGCTTTATGAACCAACAATAAGATCCTTTTTTCTCTTCTTCTCCCAACATCTGCCTTTGCTCTGTGCTTTCATAATCATTGTTGTAAAATACAAAATATATTAGAAAATAATTTGAATAAACCATTAAAAACATGTTGTTCTCCATGGGGATGGGCTCGATAGCAGCAGTGTTGTCTCTCTTATCTAAAGGCTGGAAAATACAAAAAGCTTCTCTTGGTTGTGTTTTTATGGGTCAACCCTCTCAGGTCCCTTCATTTTTGTTCCTCGCCATTTTGTTTAGTGCCATTATAAACTGCAGTCTTTAACTACATCATAATCACAAATTTTCAGACATTTTAATCACCAAAATTCCAGTTTAAGTGAGTAAGATATGCAAATAGAAAATCTTGTGTCCATAGACTCAAAATTTTCATTTGCTTTGCCCTTTTATCCACACAGAAACTCCCTGTATTTATGACAACTCCAATCAAATTTGAGAAAACTCAGTTTTTGTGCTTGTGTGTACATAGGGAAACAGATTTACAGTCCTGCACAACGCAGTCTATGACAAACAATGCGCCAATTAATCCACATACTTGGTTTGACACGATTCCCAATCTGCATCATTTTATGTTTTAATAATCTAATATTCCAATACGATATTTAAAAGTAGTTGAGCCTATGTATCTGTAGAGACAATCGAACCTCTGGGCACCAGTTTAGTTTCTAACAGGAAGTTATGGTTCTTTTGAAGAAATCTGATAAGCAGGAGGATCCGATAAAATATACTGTTTTTAATGTTTTCGGTCTTGTCGTTTAATTAACCGTTACCGTTTACGTATAATTTTATAATTTTTCGCTGTGTTTATGTTGTTGTAGAATATATGCATATACTGCACCTTGTTTCAGAAAACGGAATGACTGAAACATCAGAGCAGCTTAAAGTAGAAGAAAGCATTTCCTGCATATTCGTTTTTAGAAAATCAACATCAGATAGCAGAAATTTCCTCCCCACAACTGACCGCGAAAGCTTAACGTGTTCCAGCCCCTTTAATTGAAACTTATTGGATTGTTTAAAATTGTATTATGACTTCAGAATAAAATCAAATGCGCCATTTCAACCAAAGATTGGAATGAGCTTCTCAACCAGATGTACTACTTGTCACATTCAACAGACTTCCTTCTGGTTCCCAGTCGGGGGAACACCACAGACATTGCGATGAATGAGCCAAGATGATTAAACACGTTCAGTATCCCCGATTGAACGTGTTCAAGCGGTCCCGACATTCCACCGACTGGACCTGATCAGTCGTAACACACCACACACTACAGAATGATCGGTTACGATTGTCGGAAGCGACATTCTTAGAACTCAGAACGTTGTCAGATTGCCGTAAGGGCAAAATCGGGGCAAAAAATCGTGTAGTGTGAACTGGGCATTAGCTGTGCGTTACACTGCCCCCTATGGGTTTGGCATGTTTAAAACAAGATTGTGTAGATTCATCTGGATGAAAACTTTTCTGAAACCACATTGCTACATTGCTTTTTTTTTAAACAAAATGGCAAAGAGCAAAAAAAAAATTAAACAAAAATGGTGTCAAATTTACATTTGTGCCGCTATCATTTTAAAGACATAAATATCTTTGTAGTTCAAAGGTCAACTCATGGGTCCACATTTACAAAATCATTTGAAATATGGTGTCAATCAACTATGCTACGTTTGTGCAGAAGGCTGGATTTTTTAAAGTCTGGCCCAGGAGCTGGTATAACCAAAGAACACATTCAGAATGGCACAGAAATGGGTAAGGGCTCCAGATTGCTCTGTTTATTTTAAAACTACATGAAAGAGAATACAAATTCCCTAAGAAAAAATAAATTTTTTTGTGTCAATGCAGAAAATGTTGAGAGACCCGAGAAGGTTCAAACCAGCACACAGCAGCTGTTCCTGTTTTGGTTTTATGAAGTAATAAAAGCAGCTTAGTGGATGTTTTGGAGAAGATTAGCTCACCAGAGTTGAACCTGAGCCATTTTCTCAGCCCATCCCCGGCTCTCCTGTCTGCCGCCTCTCTACCTTTCTGCTCATGCTTTGCTGCCATGGAGGACAACAGAAACGTCGGACCTCGGTCCTGCCTGCCTGCCTGGGTGCCTATGACAGCCGCCGCTTGGCTCCACGGGTTGGAAGACCTCTCTAACTGTCTCTATACTGCCCCTTGCTGGAGCTTATCGGTACGGCGGCTCGGGCTGCTGTGGATTGGGTCTGTAGAGCTGCTGCACCCGGACCGGCCGCCCATTAGCGGGCCAGCCGCCCGGCAGCTGGCCTATGACTCGGAGGCCGACCGGCTGGCCGTGTCCTGGGATCGGGCTGCTGGGGCTCAAGATGTGGGTCTGGCCCACTGGGGGTTCAGAGGCAGGGTTTGGATGGCTCGGTGCCGAGGCTGGGGGGGAAACAGGGTAATGGGGGACAAGGATGGCCGGTGTCAAGCCGTATCGGACCTGGAACACTCGGAGTGGCCCCTGTGCCACAAAGCCGTTGGGTCGCTGAGGCTCCTGCTGCGGCTCGGAGTCTTTCTTTGCCTCTGGGACCCGACTCTCCTCGGGTCTCTTGCTTTTATTGGGCTGCTTCCTGGCTTGAACGGCCTCCTGGATCTTCTCTGTTTGAGCCCGGCGGATGTGGTAGATCTTCCTGGAGCTCTGGAATGAATCCAGGAACTCATCCAGACTCACGTTGCCCTCCATGAACTTCTCCAGCAGCTCCTGGGAAGCAGGACAGACAATCAGACCGCAGTCAGACAACTTGCTAAGGAGGTGTCCTCAAGTTGAGTATTTTGAAGTTAGATGCTTGATGTTAAGCATCAACATTGCTCTAGGGTCTAGACAATAAACAATAAATCAATTAGTTTGTACTTCCATTTGAGTTTCTGCTGCTTCAACAAAAGCTCCTTAAAAAAACAAAACAAAAAAACTACCCAGTCATTTTTTGGCAATAAGTCAGTGTTTTTTGGTGTCCGAAAATGAGCCATTTTGAAAACCTCCGACTTATAAAGTGCAACGTTACCTAGCAACCCCAATCAAGCCCATCCTTGTACCTAGCAACCCAACCAAATTTCCAGCAGTTTTGGTCAGCTGATTTTACGGTTGTACAGTGGCTGCTGGAAAAAACAAGTATTTTGTTGTTTAATTACCATCCAGAAACCTCTTACTATATTCGTGTTGGTGGTGCAGGAGGCTCCACTTCTGCTTTTCAAGGATTTTGGTCATTTGGCATTTTCACGTGTGAGTGTAAACATTAAGTTGGGGACGTGGCCAGCAGCAGCTTACTTGGGTTTAAAGTGTCCCAAAGAGTCCCTAAAACAGCTCAAAATAGTACGAACAAACCAGACTAAAACTGCATTACCTAAGAATGATTTTGATTTAAAAAAAAAATGTGATGAACATGTTCTGGGTAGCCCATAGAAGTATCCTAACCTGTTCAAGTAAGTGTAATAGGTCACCTTTAAATATTTTGTTTTGCTTATTAAATTGTTTAGGATGTTAATCTTTGCACAGAAATACATTTTAGTGTTTTGTAATTTATTAAGGTTCTCTTGTGTCCCAGACTTAACTTCCTGGTGTTTTACTTTGTATTCCCAGCAGGAATGACCATCTATCCATACTGAGGTGGCTGAACACCTGGGGCTGAGCGTGAGGGCGGTACTTCCTGCAGGCCTGCTTTAAAGGGTAAGGTCCTGTGCAGATGGTTAGAGGCCATACGGTCATCCCAGTGGGACTTGTTTTCCCAGCTGACCAGATGGTGATTTAGGAGGGCTCATCTGTTGTCCCACTCAATACTGATAAATATATTAGCTTCCTAAAATTAGAGCTCAGCTTTCAGTTTTTATTGAAATAGAACCATCAAAAACATCTCTTTCTGTAAATGGTCGACCTTCTCCATGATGTATTCTGACTTTTTGTGGACAACTATTGTGCAGAGGGACAGTTTATCTTCCATAGATCCCAGCATTCGCCTCATTATTAATGCAGGTGAGAATTAATTAAGACTGGTGAGAAAACAACAGCTGAGAGTTTCTGGTCTGAGATGAGATCATTAACTGTTAAAAAACAGAAGCGCATTTCAGTTCCTATTTAGAAAAAGTTTAGGATTTTATTTCTTTTCACAGATGAAAAGGAATGAAATAGATTCAAGTTTTTAAAAGTCTGAGTTTTTTTAGTCTTTCTCATGATTGTTGCTCACATTAATAGTTAAAATACCAATCGTAAAATTAAAGATGGCAATTCAGTTTTGAATTATTTAGCTGAGGTTTGATTGAACTATGTTAGGCTTTGAACAGCAGATAATTATATTTAGTCCAGAATCCAGAAAAACCTGTAAAATATTCCTGGCACTGAAATCGGGAGTTAAGAGCTTTTGTACACCTGTAAGTTGTTTAGTTTGGTCCGAATTAGTTGAGTTTGTTCACTTGAAAATTTTATTGGTGGTTTGGTTTTTTCCATACAGAAAAAACCAAGCAAACCAGACCTTGTCATTACAAACCAAGTCTGAAGGTTTTGTCTGTTTATTTGACAGATGAGTCTGGAGCAGGAGAACCAGATGTAAATACAGGAGGCAGATGTTGAGTCCTGACCCAGTTGAAAGCAAGAATTGAATCATTATCTGTGTTTTATTTCAGGTGAAACTATCTGTGCAGAAAATCAAAAATTATTTTTGAGAAGATGTCTTGAAGGTTGAACTGTTATGCTGCATTAAAAAAAAGCTTTTTCATTAAGCTTTTTGTGAAAAATCAATCTTGGATAATGAGATTGTAGTCTGTCAGTCCTGCCTATTTTGAACTACTTTCAGAATGAGCTGTTTTAGGGCCTCTGTCACTTTAAATTCACATAACCTGCTGCTGGACGTGCTCCCCAGCACACTGTTTACACTCAGGTGAAAATGGCTGCAAACAAATGCAGATTTATATAACAGTACATCTTTAAGAAGCATTAGTAGAGTCTCCTGCACATCCAACAAGAATTCAGCAAGTGGTTTCTGGATGATAAGTCAAAAACAAAACACTTTTCTTTTTCTGCAGCCAAGGTACAGTGCATGCATACGGCAGTAAAACCATTTGACCCAAACATGCTGCAGGGTGTATTGGGGCTGCTAGGTAATGGCATAATGCCTGTCGATTAACTGTTTTTCGAAGCAGTAGAAACCCAAATGGAAGAATAAAAAATCCAAAATGGCAAAATCAATGGACTTAATTTTATGTCTATTACACAAAGTCCAAGTGAAACAGTTTGTGGTTATAAAGTGAAAAATCTTTTTTTCACTATTTCACCATTTATAGTTTAAACAACCATAACATCAACAACACTCTGACATGAATTTGGTCTTGATTCATATGTGACCTGTTTTCATATGTGTTTTTGTGTTTGTGTGAGTTTGACAGGAAACAAAGATTTAACAAAATATTTTCCAGGAACAGTAAAAAAAACCCCAAACTCTTCAGCAGTATTTCTTCACTTCACCTCATTTAAAAACAAACCAACTCTCAGACGACCTACAGGCTGACAGATTTGATTTATAGGATGACGGAAGAATACATCAAGTTCTCGACTCCTCCATCAGATTTGTTTGTTCATGTTGGTACCTGAGACCCAAGGCAACAGAAGAAGGGTTTTTTTGGCCTGAAACCTTAACTGTCTGGACCCGATTTGACAAAGCCCCGGATCTTCTTCACCATAAAATGACTCTGAAAGGCTGTAAGGATTCCCGTCAACCATGAAAACTTAAATCTTTTTGCCCTCTAAGGTCTCAGTCTGAGACGATTTAGATTCAAGCTGATAGTGAGACAGTGGAGAGGCCTGATTGTATTGATTCAGGCACACTAACTCTGAAGCTCTGATTAAACACAAAGGAGAGAGCCTTTCATCTATTCCATGCAATAATCATAAACCATCTCTTCTTAAAACTTGTGATTAATAAGATAGAAAATGGGAATTAAAGCAGCCGCCTTGTGTCGGATATTTACTGATATATCCATGCTCAGGCTTTCTGAATGCTTCTGCTGCTTAATCAATCAGTGAGCGGCTCTTTCAATGCATCAGTCATGAAACTATTGATCGCAGCCATGTGAGGTGGGGGTGGCAGGCTCTGTGGATCAATGCATGCAACAGCAGCGGCAGCTTTCTTCTGTAAATAAGCTCTGCAACATGGTGGCCAGTTGGTAAGCAAAGGATTGTGGGTATTTCAGCAACACCAACAGACTTGCATTTGGTTCCTTAATTAAAAAGGAACAGATGACGTTACATGAGTCTTCAGCTACTTTGCTTAGGTTTGATTTGAGGCTGAGGGACTTGATTAAATCCGATTTCTGCTCTAAAACCAGAAATTGTTCAAAATAAATAAATGAATAAAACCATTCATTTTGAGTCTTTTTTAATAATGTAAGATTAATGATGTTCTTATTATCAGATTTTATTCAAATCTTATCCACTCAGATTTCAATTTAAGAGCAAAACCCAAACCAAAGTGTTATGTTTTTATTACAGCTGTGAACCAAGGAAGAGCTGGTCCCCAGTCAGTAGACTCAGTTTGACTGGGGACCAAAATTGAAATGTTTGTTACATTTTCACTTGCTGTGGTTCTTTTTCATACTGCACTGTTGAACAAACTAAACACTTTGAGGAACCTGTTCCCCTCCTCACCTGTGGGGGCGCTGCAACAAGAACCACTGAAGGAACAACACAAAACCAAATGTGAATAAAAATGGCATTGGATTTTTCTTTTGCCTTTAGTAATAGACTATAAGCTATTTCACCCAACTAGCGCTAAAATAGTGTCTTTGCTTTGGTTGTATTTACCCAGAATGCCCTGCTCACTGGAGTTTATTTCAACCAAGTCGAGACCAAAGTTTGTAAGTGTTCCAGAGTTTGAGTTTGTCAGAGTTTGACTACGCATTCACATCTCCCCAAATGAATCAGACTTTCCAGGACGGTAGTTGGATTAAATCAGATTAATAATTTAATCGCAAAAGGTGTTTAATAATGATTTATTTTTACAAAATTTGAACCAGATGAATCTGAAACTGCCACTTGAAGAGTTTTGGATAGAACATATTTACAAACAACAAAATTTTTATCATTTAAAGTTTAAAATGCTTTGTGTGTTGAACAGTCTTGGCGTAATTACTATACGTTATTCTTTCAGCAACTGACTTTTTTTTTCTAATTAATTAACAAATAACTAAATTAGTTGATGATTATTTAAGTAATTGATCCATTAAGATTAATTGTTTTAGCCCTAATTCTAATCACGAAGATTAAATTGAAGACATTTTGTGCATGAAGTATCCAATTTTTTATTTTGTCGATCAATTACGCTGTCAACATTGAGAAAATTTAGCACAGATAGGATAAACTGTTACTGATTGATGTTTCGTCTCCAGCTGAACTCCAAAGTTGTGACTCTGCGAGTAACTGTGACATTAATCTGCAGCAGCTTTTCAGTTATCGATCCAAACTTCATTTAAAAACACAGTAATCTGAGGTTTACACTTTTAATCATTAACTGCACAGAGTTGGAGACAACAGGTCTGAATCTACAGCTGCTTGTGTTGTGAGCTCACCCCGGTCGTGTCGGTGCATGCATGAAGGAGAATCAGTGAGGCTTAGTGACGGGAGGCCTGTAGGCAGCCCTGTGGCAGCTTTAACTCCCAGCTGTTTGTATTTTTTAGACACCTGTGAAAGCGTCAATGTTGCCTGGTAAAACTATTTCAGAAACACACCAGCAAATTCTGAGGATCAGGCTTCTCTGGCTCTCAGGTCTTCAGATGTTTTAATCATGAAGCCGCAGATTTCTATTTCAGACTTCAGCTTCAAAGCAGCTCAGCTTATTGTCTGACACACAGGGAAACTGAATCAACAAATACTGACTGATTTTCATTCAATGCTCTGCAATATTGATGTATGGAAAAGAACAAATAAACTCAATTTTTAAGGTTTAAACATTTTGAATATTACTGTGACTATAACTGTGGATAAGAAGATCATTTCTTTTAGCTACACTATGGCTGATACAGATCATGTTCTCTTGTTTTTCCCTTTTTGTGGAGTGGGTAGGGGTGTGTCCAAATTCAGACACATACTTTGAAGGACCAGAAACAAGGTCCAGCTTTCAGATTTATTCCTGCTGTCGCCTAGCAACAGCGACGTTGCTAATCTCATGCTGGTAAAAAATAAATAAGAAGCTCAAAATTATGCTCAGCTTTTTATTACTTATTAAACATCTTTAATTTGTTGAATTCTTTGTTTCCAAAATTATATGGTTGTAACAGTTGCAACAGTACTGTACTGTAAAAAAACTATCAATTGGAATGTATGTGTGATTGAAATGAAATGACTTGTTTGCATGACATTTGCTATGAATTGGTGCTACTTAAACTGAACTGATATGAATACTGACCACCACTGATGCGGGAAGACACTGATTGCAAAAGTTTTAAAAATATATTTTGTCTTATATTTAAATGGAAATATAAAGAGTTTCAATGTTTTTTTTAATAAAAATCTATTGAACTCAGTAGTTAAAAGACTAAAAAATGTGCAAAAAATAAATAACATCAAGAAATATTGGTTGTTGACCACAACATTAATATCGGATTTCTATATTGACCCTTTTTCTTAAGTCAGTGCATCCCTAGATCAAGGGTTCTCTGAAGGAATGCCATGTTGTTGCATTTTAGGCAATACAATTTTTATTTTATGTGAAAATAATTTATTTGTTTATTTGCATTTTTTGTGTGTTTTTAATATTATATAAAAATATTTAAGTGGTTGACTGAAAAATGGACAGAATATGCCTTTTTCAAATTAGAATAATCGTCAGAATAATCAATGAATAAAATGATTGGTAGTTGCAGCCCTAAACAAAACCTAATTTGCTCTCATTCTTCTCTTTCGTCACACAAAGACAAAGTCAGAAATTTTCCTCCAAATCTGTGTTGAGTATGTTTAAAAACACAAAGACTGTGAAGCATTTTTATTGACAACAGCTTCAGACATCAAATTCACACCATCAGGTTCAGATTAAACTCTGTTTCTTATTTAGTTTTAGTTAGAGAAGCATCATATTGTTCGTCATTAAATGAAGGCTTAAGGGGAGCAAACAGGATGTTAACAGTTCACTGGCTGCTGCTGCTGATGTAGGCTGGGTGTATGTATAGCATGCCTAGCGGCTTTATACAGCAGATTGCATTGAAGTGGGTGGGCTTGCTCAGAGCCAGCCTGCAGATTTATTTATTTATTTCAAAATAAAAGCCCCCAGCAACACCGCTGCCAGAGCAGTGAAGCTCTGTTTTGAATTTCCAGGAGGAATTTTAGAGAAAAGGCAGAGCTGTATTGTTCTTACCTCGGAGTGTTCTTCAGCACGTGCCACCTCCTCCTGCAGGAGGTTCTTCGCCGTCTGCAGGCTGCGCCTCGGCCCGCGAGCCTCTGCAACGACAGGGAGACATCACTGATGCATGCGGAGCCATCAAGTATGACTTCACTGCTAGCTGGAGGAGAAATCCAGAAACTGAGAAACTGCAGTGTAGAAAATTATTTTCCAGATCACAGAGATCCTTCCTGGTATGCACTGGTGAGGCGGTGGGCAGTTTATGGCCTCAGAAAACGTGGGAAAAAGCAGCAAATTATCGTTTATTAGGCTTTTACACAAACCGGTCTTGTCTTTCTTCGTCACTTTAGGTCGCTTGTATTTACTCCAATGTAAGAAGCACAAATCCAAACCTAATTACATAATTTTTAACATATTTCTGAGCACGCCTACACACACACACACACACACACACACACACACACGCACACACACACACACACCATTATGTAACAGGACTGAATTATTCACAGCCTTGTCAATACAATAAGAAAAAGGGAAAGCCTTAAACAAATACATGAGGGATGTAGTTCCTCTTTGTATCAAAGGATTTTAACAAAAAAGCAAAGCGCCTCACCAAACTGCAAGACAAGTTTAGCTTTTTCAGACATCTTTACACTGAGTTCAAATAAAATGATATATATTTAGATAACTATTTGTTTGAAAAGGAGGCAGGCAGAAATATAAACTTATCTGATCCTGCTGCCTTTCTGTTTTATTTATGTCCTTACACATTGTTTAAAGAAAAATATTTATATATAGAAAGGCAGGTAGTAATAATACTTTATTTGTATAGCACTTTTTTTAAAAAAATGGCATATACATATTTCCATACACATGAAAGAAAGATAAAAAATCTCTAAGTAATGTTTTAAGCTTTCTGGCATTTGCAAATAGAAATAATTGTGGTCAGACTAAACCAAAATGAGAAAAGTTTAGTCTAATTTAATGTCAGACAGTGAGAAAATAAATGTGTCTGAAAATAGCAGGTTTCTACTGTAAATGACGTTTCCAAATTTAAGCTTCAATCAAACAATGTATTAAACTTTATTACTAAACTGTGCAGCTGGAATATCAATCACTTTCAAGGACTTTAAACAGAAATGAACCTTGAAAACACCTAATTAAAATTCAAGGATTTCAAGCACCCTATTTTGCTTATTTTGTTGATTAAAATGTGATAAATTAATTACAGACCCTGCAGTCAACTTGATTAAAATTATTCCTAGCATGATTTGGCTCTTTAAGCAAAGCATTTTAACTTTAATTATCCCTGTGAATCTAAATAAATAAATCAATCATGCACATCTATGAGGTTTTTCCCTCAAAGACCACCCGGCTCGCTGCACTAAGATCTAAAGTAGCTTTTGCCTGCACAAAAGTCAGAACTTTACGGACTAAATGACTAATCCGGCTGAGAGAACCGAAGGTGAGTAAATATGTGATAATTTGTTTACGTCTTGTGGTTTGGAAAGCAGACGTGGAAAAGATTAGCATGTTTAGCATTTCTGGGGATTACAGAGCTTGGCAGTGAGATGATAAACCGTCTGGGTGAAATCATCCGGAACCACAGAACAGTAGGTGGACCAGAGGAACCGTGAGTTAGCTTCGATAAAAACCTCCTTTACATAAATTTATTGACTTGGAAACTGGTAATTAGAGCGACAGGTTTATGACATGAGTGGGTGTGAACACAGAGGGTCAAAGCGGATCCAATAAACTGGACCGGAAAGTTGCTGGCAGATGAAAACAGACGGTTTCCCTCTGGACCCGGACTGACCTGCTTTCAGCGAAACGCTCAAAGATCTCAGCAGGGAGCAAACAAGCAGAGGAATTACTTTAAACAGAAACCGTTTGAGCTTCACACGCAGATGTTAGAGGAAAAGGATGAAGAGGTTGATGGCTGCTAAACTAAATACTGTAAGGTAAAGAGGGACGAAGGAAAAGGAATCACTAAAATCAAGATTTCAAACTTCTGCAGTCCTCAGAGCTTTACTACCCTATACAACAGAGAAGAAAGTATAATTTACAGCAAACATTTCTGCAAACTTTACATCTGTAGCCTGAAAAATTAGAAACAGCAGGAAACAAAGGAACGACGCAAGGAAGGAAATAAAAAAAGACAGAGGGGAGACATGCAATCGAAAGTAAGACTTGAAAATAATTTAAATAGTATTGAAGGAAAGAAGGAAGGAAAGGCAGGAAGGGCTCAAGGATGGAATGAAAGAAGAAAGAATCAAGGACACAAGAAAGGAAGGAAAAAAGAAAGGAAATAAGGGAGGACATAAACGAGGAAATAGGGAAGACATTCTGTAGAAAGTAAAGAAATATGACAAGAAATGAGGTAGGATAGAAAGAAAAAGGGAAGGAAAAGAAAGATGTTTAAGAAATTTAGATTTTATTTATGTATTTATTTTGAACATAATAGCAGTATAAAATAACACACATGAACAAGGAATGCAAAAGACAAATTCTGTTTTGTACCACAATAATCTTAACATGCTTGAAAAGGAGTAGGAATCAAAGAAAGCATGAAAGGAAATAATAAAAGACAATTTACAAAAGAAGGAAGGACAAAAAGAGAAAAGAGAGAAAGCATTCAGAAGAATGTAAAGACATGAGAAATGATGTCAGATAAAAAGGAAGGAAGGAAAGGATGGAGACAAGAACAGAAAAAGAAAGGGAAGGAAAGAATAATATCTTGGTTTTTACAAGAAATGTTTTAATGATATAAATCTCCTTAAATTGAGAATATTTCTCCGAATGAAATGCAAAACTAGCTTCTTGTTAAAACAAGATGAGTTTTATATCATTTTAACAAGAAATGTTACTTGTTAAATTTAACTCTTTGCATGTTTATTAAAACAAGTTTTGCAATGTAAAGTTTGTCATGACATTGAGATGCAAATCAAGAAACACTAGTTACAACAAAATGAGTTTCAGATTTTGTTGTAAATCTAAAATATAAAAACAACAAGCAAGACCTGTTGTTGTGACCTTTATTTAAAAAAATATTTTGGTTTTAATGAGACTAATCTCAATAGGGAGTGTTTTAATCTCATTAAAAGAAAGTTTTGTCATTTAAACGAGATTGTGCTCCAGAATTTATTTCCTCGCTCTGACAGTTGAGCATTTTCATACGTCTGCCCTAAAACTAAAACTAAAGTCTCTTCTCTACCACTGCAGTTGGAACATTAGTCCATCAGATGGGAGAATAAAAGGCCACAGCGTGTCTGATAAATATGCTTGCAGGGCAGCTTCCCGTCACACTCACTGCATGCCTCCACCTCCTGTGGATCGCGGTCGGTAATCTTTCTGAACAGGCTTGACCTGTCTGACTGCAAAGTGTGTCTTGTCCCTCGAAGAGACGATGTGACAGCCGACGTGTCAGGCCGAGTTCAGTAGAGACCGCGGGGCACATAAAGGTCACAGTAATGACTCTAATAACTCCAATCCCCTCAGGGAAATCTCCACCATCCAGACAGAGCGCAGTAATGCATGCTGGCAATCCGTTTTCAATAAGATGTCATCTCTGAATCTCATCCTAGGCAGTCGGATCGTTTCCCCGAGTCTTCAGGGGAGATAAATGCTCTTTAAAAAGGTTTTAGACTGAACGAATGGCATGCTCTGCTCTCTGTCACATAACGCATTACAGCCCTACAAGTAGAGAGACGTATGTCAAACTCGAGGTCTGGGGGCCAAGTCCAGCCCGCCATTGCTTTTTACGTAGCCCTCTAGACTCTAGAGCAGGGGTGGCCAAACTTTTTGAGACCAAGATCTACTTTTTCTCTCAAAACAATTGAAGCAATACATAAAATGAATTATGAAGTCTCTGTAAACAAAATTGTCCTTCAAAAAATCTTTGAGTCCAAAGCACCAGACTGAAGACTTTTATCATCCAGTCTTTGATAGAAAAAAAAGAGAGAAATGAGGAAAACAAAATAATCATGCAAATGGAAATGATCAAGTTCATTTAAATTTATTTATTGCTTATTGCGACAGGCGTAGATATGGTCCAATATGAAAATGTGTGTGACACGCCTGCGTTGGAGGAAGGGCCTCATTCCCGACCCAATGCTGCAGACCCTGGAGAGGGGGATGATTGGGATGTAATGAGTGGTGACAGCCGAGAAAACAGTCGTCCTACAGCAGCTGTACTCGACCTATATTTTGAGAGCAGATGAGGGAAGTGGACCTGAGGGCTACCGAGTGCAGCACAAATTTAACTTAACAAGTGAATGGTGTCAGTGCCGGAGTCAAACATTTGGTCTGGGTGCTGATATGAGACAATGGAGTCTCCGCCCCGCCGCTGCACAGAGACTTTCTGCTCTTCACAAAAGAGCCATAAAACTAACACGCAGCATTTGCCTTCTGGGACACTTTGAAACATTTTTAGTAAACTGAAACCTTGTGAAACTGCCATCCCGGCATCTAAGGAGGCTTCAGAAAGAAGAAAGACATACAAGAACAAAAGGTTTCTCTGTAAACAATCATATTATTTGACAAAAGCTTACTTCACATTAATATTAAACAGCTGAATTCATTTGCTGACAGGGAAATTACATATAAAAGTCTGGTGGCTACAAATGTGACAATACACCAAGGTTTTACAGATAGCATTAAAACCACACAAAGGGAGAAAATAAACAAGTGATCAGAGAATTATGTCTTTTCCAGGCACAAAGTGTCATTTTATAACACAATCGAAGAACTATGCTACCCTTGAGTAGTTATAAATATGATATATATAAACATATATATAAAATATGTCTTAAAAAATTTACTTCTTTGTTTAATGTCTTGAAATTGGGCTTATGTCACTTTAAAAACTCCTGCTCTTTCTGAAAATTTGCCTTCAGGAAGTTATCACAACAGAACACGTCTAAACCCTTTAACAATGTTTCTACCAACGTTGCACTGAGAAGTAGCTCTCATACTGAGCTCAGGTGATGCACAGCTAACGATTCCTTCTCCCAATGAACTCAAACTATATTTATAAATATGTACATAAAAAAACATCTTTGCAAATGAACAAACTCCAGCACAAAAAGAAGAAAAA